GGCTGATAAATGGCTTGTAACATTCAACCCTTCTAAATCGGAAACTATGATCATGTCACGCAAAACAATAAGCCTTATCATCCGCCACTTCTAATGCATGATCAGCCTATCTCCTCAGTAAAATAGTCATAAACATCTTGGTCTTTACTTTTCTGATGATTGCTCTTGGCATGTACATATTAATTCTATGAAAGAGAAGGCTTGGAAAAGAATTCATATCATGAGAAAATTTAAATTTACACTAGACAGAAGAACACTAGAAGTTATATATCTATCATTCATAAGACCTCTCATTGAATATGCAGATGTAGTCTGGGATCAACTGTACACAATATGAAAACTTTGAACTTGATAAAATTCAACATGAAGCCGCCGTATAGTCTCAGGGGCCACTAAACTTGTATCTCTTCAGGAACTTCAAAGAGAAGTTCTTTGGGAATCGCTCGAAAGCCGTAGACAGAATCACAAACTTATTTTTGTTTTACAAAATGGAAAAAACGGTCTCACACCAGATTATTTATCGTCCTTAGTTCCACCATCAGTTTGGAGAAACGTCTATGTACAATTTTACGAAATGCTCCTGACAATGCTAAACAATACGTACAAGAACTTCTCTTTACCATAATGCATTTCTGCCATCTACTTTTAGAGATTGGAACTTACTATCAACAGAGGTACAAAACTCAATATCTTTGACCTCTTTTTAAAACGCAAACTTAAAGGTAATATTAAAAAATGCCCCAAATACTATTATATAGGTGAAAGAAAATGGCAAGTCATGCATACACGGCTCCGAACAGAATGTAGCTCTTTAAACCATCACTTATTCAGAAAAAATATGTCCCCCTCACAAATTGTCAATGTGGTCTCCTGGAAAGTAACCACCACTTCTTCTTTGAGTGTCACTTCTATAAATGATATCAGACTCAGACTATTTGATGCTGTTTCTAATATTTGTACTATAACACTTCATACCTTACTAAACGGAGACCAGAATCTTAGCCATGACATTAATTCTAAAATTGTTCAAGCAGTTCATGTATATATACGTGAAAGTAACCGATTTTCATGAGCAAATAATATGCCAACTTGACCTATCCGAATGAATCTTCTTTACCTTCTTTCTTATTCTTTTCAATTATTTATATTCTTTAAAAAAAGATCTTTTGAACAATAGCTAAAATCTTCGATTTTTTTTCGTTTCAAATATGTTAAAAATTAACTTCATTGTTTCAAACAATATTGCAAACACTGTCATAATTTAACTGCATTGTGCAAATATGTAGGAGAAGACCTTTATAAGCTTTATAGCTTTCGGCTCTAATCCTTTTTCATTCGTGTATCTAATTATTGTAAATGTATTAACAACATGTACTTGTATCATTGTTTGAAATAAACTATGTTTAAACTAACGCAATAAGAGGTATTTTTTATATATATTTTGACCTCTTTTTTGGGTAAATTACGTGAATTGTACGTGCCGTTTACTTTCTTTGATTACTTCACAATATTTTACTTTTAAATACATTTTCAACTAGAACTCCGCGAGTCGGATGTGTCGCCTTGTGAACAATGTAGTTTAGGGGAAATGGCCAGGACAAAAATGAAATATGAAAATTAACAAAGGGCAATAACTAAAAAAATAATAAGTGCAGAGCAGCAGTTTCTGTACACTGCACTTCTTATCAATAAGATCTATCATTCTATGATGTTTCAAGTCCATAGCTTTCATACTTGAGGAGAAATGACCAGGACAAAAATAAAGTAAGAAAATCAACAAAGGGCAATAACTCAAAAATAAGAAATGCAGAGTATCAGTTCTTATGCACTGCACTTCTTTTTAATGAGATCTATCATCCTATCAAGTTTCAAGTCCATAACTTTTATACTTTCGGAGAAATGGCCTGGACAAAAATTAAGTATGTAAATAAACAAAGGGCAATAACTCAAAAAATAAGAAATGCAGAGTACCAGTTCTTGTGCACTGCACTTCTTCTTAATGAGACCTATCATCCTATGAAGTTTCAAGTCCATGGCTTTTATACATTAGGAGAAATGGCCCGGACAAAAATAAAGTATGAAAATTAACAAAGGGCAATAACTCAAAAATTAGGAAGTGCAGAGTACCGATTTTTGTGCACTGCACTTCTTAATAATGAGATCTATCATCCCATGAAGTTTCAAGTCCATAGCTTTTTTAGTTGAAGAGAAATGGCCCGGACAAAATTAAAGTATGAAAATTAACAAAGGGCAATAACTCAAAAAATAAGAACTGCAGGGTACCGGTCCTTGTGCACTGCACTTCGCGTTATTGAAAGAAGCATGCATACCAAGTTTGAAGTCAATCAGACTTATAGTGACTAAGTTATGCTTTGGACAAGCTTTAGGGGACGCCGACAACGACGCCGACAACGACACAGACGCCGCCGACACCGCCGACAAAAGTAACCCCTATATGTCACCTTTTCAAGGCGACACAAAAATCTTATGAAAATTAGCATGAATCTGGAGGCATTCTGCTTTAAAATTTTAGGTATCTTTTAATAAGCATATTAAAACTATTACTGTCCAAGGCATTAGGATAAACCATTACGAGCGTGTCAGATCTGTCTATATATAAATCAGACACATGGTGCCGGATTCCTGGCACAATACGACATTGACACTTAAGGGTAATCGTCATGCCACAGTATAAAACGAGTATTACTATTAAGCCGTAATGGTAATGTTTCCCCCTTAATTTTAAAAACTGCGCAGATCTAAAAGGATATTCGTATACGTAGAAAATATTTGGTTATTCTAAAAGAATGCAGTGCACAGCCAACCATTCCGTCGCAGCCATTTTACACGTACATAAAACCTCGCTGGTACAACCTACTGTGGACGTTGCACCTGGTCGGTAGATGGCACGTAATAATATTAAGGTCATTAGATCAAACATCGGGGTCTTAATGACGCTTAATATACAATCATTGTCCAATCAATAACTTGTATATACGGCACTATGACAGTATAACGATGGCACAAATGACGTGTGTGGTTTAATTTATCTCGTGCGCACGAAAAGTATGTCGTAGCCACGAGTCACTAAGTCGTGCGCACGAGATACTCTGTCGTGGCCTCGAGTGACTAAGTCGTGCGCACGAGATATTAAAGTTGTGCGCACGAGACACAATGTCGTGGACACGAGTTACTTAGTAATGTGCACGAGATAAATAATTGTTGCGCACGAGATGTTATGGCCATGAGTTACTAAATCGTGCCCACGCGTTACTAAAACTTTCGATATCAACATGTCAACAATAAGGAAAGACATTTATGACTTTAGATATGAAATTTAAACTATATAAACTGGGATATCAGTATAACCTAGCCTAGGGAAATCTGCATTTACGCTGAACCATTACAGGTGCTTTGTTTGTAAAAGTTTTTTATAAAAATAAAAAAAAATAAAAAGTCGGTTTGATTTATCATAAACAAAAATTCTAAATGCTTTTTATAGACTTAACCTTTACATTATCAGAATTTGCATTTCACCCCTAACTCTAGATTTTAAGAAGTAAACATCCCTTGGCAAAAAAATATCTGGAACCCTGGTAATTACTTATTCCGTTTTGAAGTAACCCTATTTAGGTTACCCTAAAACGATCTCACCCTACCTAGACGTAGCTTTATTGATTTGAGTTAACAAAGAAATTCTGTCATAGTTCGCCATTCGTCTCTCATGATACATATAATATATTGTCAAAATTTTCTGTTAACTATGCACATTTGTATAAAAATCACAGTGACATTGACATTTGAATTTTACAATACGAATAGTTTAATAGCTTAATGGCTTTATTGTTTCAAATGAAATCAGATAAGAAATGCAGAATACATTTGGCATGTCATAATGATCCAATCACTAAAATTTATTTAGTTTGTCTCGCAAATGATTTTCTTTATCTGATTCTTTTTATTTATTTTTTTTTTTTTGAAAAACAAATATTGTTACAATGACGTGAATCTTTTGTAAAAAGCAGACAATTGAATGATCTCTGTCAAAACAAAAATGCTGAATCAATAATTTCGTGCAGTTTATTGTTTTGCATTGTTATTGTTAAGAATTATGGCTTTTTATCTCTGTCGATCTGTTATGGACAAATCTTTAAAGCAGCATGCCTCCAGATTCATGCTAATTTTCATGAAATTTTAAAATTATATTTAAATGTATTATATTGTGAAATAACAAAAAGGAAGCAACTTACACATTATCAAAGCACTTGCAACAAACGTTAATTTCCTAAAAGAGATCAAAGGATGCAAAAATAACCCTCACTGCTTAGTGACATAGTAGAAATATAGTTATAAATTCTTAAAATTCAGTCATTAATCGCATATACTAACACGTAAATAATTACTTGAGTCTTAAACAGTCGGGAAAGTTTTTTTAAAAATTTCTGCTGTTTGTTTTTTGTTGCATATTTTGTAATCTAGGCAAAACACTCAGCTGAGATTTTTCCTATATGAATCAATGAAACAACTGTACTGCTATTATATCAATACAGTTTTCAAATGCTCATTGAAAGATTACTGAGTACAATGGGTTAGTAAGAACAAAGGAAAAGTTCCAAACCATGCGATAATGACGGTATAAATATTTTGATACTTTAAATGGTATGGAACGATATAAAAAAAAATTTTATCACAAAATGCACAAGCATTGATTGGGACAACGGTTTTTGCAAATGAAAAATAAGGTTAAATCAACTTGTGTTATTCTGTTTAGGTTTCGTAACTGGTCTTATCCAAAATCCAAAATGCCGTATCAGATGAAAAACAAAAATATTAAAAAGCGGCATATAAAGTTTTGGAAGCCGGAACTAGGTGCTGATATAATATGTTCTGTTTTGATTTTTGTACTACGCAAAATGCGCATGTGCGAAATGAAACATCCTATTCTATGGAAATTTCGTTTCAATAAAATGTCTGTTTTGAATCAAATATGCACAAAAGAAAGCATCAACACGTATGAAAAGTTCAGTGTCAAGACAATTCTTAAAAATATCAAACCTATACATAATTAGAGACATAAATCAAAAAGTCTTTTTTTTATTTTAACGTCTATTTAGATTATCGGAGAGAAGTATAATTATTATTTATTTAATGAAGTTAAAAACTACCCCACTGCAAAGAACAAATATCATAAATACGTTTTAACTTTTTCTCATGCTTTGTCTTAAGAGACCATTGCATTAAGCGAGCATTTTAGATGTTTCCTTTGCGTGGTCGCTTAATTAATGTTTGTCTGATATCGACATGAAACTTAACGGCTATATCTTATAAAGTTTATGTAGGGCTAGCTTTAAGATATATATGAACCATGTTTAAACAAATTCAAATGCCTTTAAAATACCAAGGCCTCTATGATAGGAGGTGATAATTCAGGTATACTAACGAACCGTGAAGGCACTGATTACAAAACATTGATCGTTGTGTTTCTTATCCCTGCAAATTGAACAAATGTTTAAATATATTAACATATGCACATTCAATGTTCGGTAATTGGACAAGTTAGAGCCGTTCAATAACGTTTCTCCCGATATCAACGATTAGGGATAGTTTTGCTTTAGCTTCTAGAAATTGAATATTTTCAGTATTATTTTACAAGGAATATTTTTTAAAATTAATATGAAATGAGAGAAAGCCAACGCAGAATCTTATAAAAGGACAGATTCATGCTTGTAAAGTTACTAGACAAGTTTTTGATTGCTGATAAGAAACGAGACTTAATTGTGATAAGACATATCGGAAAACGAAAAATCTTGAAAAGTAATTTTAGTTATTCTCGATTTTTGTTACAAACAATAATATGCCTTCACGTTATTCAAAAAACGATTTGCGTATTTTAAAACTGTACGCCTCTTTGGAACGGATTGCTATGAATGATGATATGGAGAGCAAAGAGCTTGAAGAAATGAAATCGAATTTTACATCGTTCTTTGCATATCTGAATAAAACAGGAAAAAAAGAAAAAAAACGTTATCTATTGGATTCAATTAAAAGTGAAACCTTTCTCCGGACTACACAAGTACTCGAAGCTGATTTGAGGGAGATCGGTATAAAAAAAATTACCGATTTTAAGCTAAATGGGGAGTCACTATTATTTCGTGCAATGTCAATCAAAAAGGGAAATGGTCTGCGAAAGGACATCCTTGAAGACATTATTATAAACTTGATTGAGAATTTTCCGGATCTCATCACTTTGGAACAGTTTCATAAATCCAATGAGAGTACAGGAGTTACCCCCATTCATCTTGCCGTAGTGCAAGAGAATCCAGAGCTCCTACATTTAATGGCAAAAAGTATAGAAAATAGTTTTAAAGGGGCAATAAAAAACGCAACCGGTGAAAAATTTCAAGGCACAGTAATGATGGCTGGATCTCTACTTGGCATTGCTTCTTTGAAATGCAACGAGAAAATATTCAGCATTATTCTCGAGAAGTTTGATCATGAGATGGATGTTACAAATGAAAAAGGTGATAATATTATCCATTCTCTAATAAAATATGCTTGTTTTCAACCTGATAAACTAGACTCAGTACTCAACATGTTAAGATACATCATATCTTGCAAATTTCTTCCAATTGAATCGGGAAAACAGAAAAACAAAATCAGAAATGTATGCGGATTTTATGTGGAAAATGACAGCAAGTACAGGAAGCAAGTTGGAAAACTATTGATGATGAAAAATAGGGAAAAGCTTACACCTCTACAATTAGCAACTAAACGGCAGCAGTTCAAAATATTTGAAATTATATTGAACGATGAGGTATGCTTATTTTTTATATTTTTAAACACCTTAAATAATATAAATTATGCGAATGTGAACAAATATGCAATGCTAACAAGACGATTTTTGTTTGCTTTTCTTTTCGGTGCCTTCAAGGGGACAGTCATTTGTCAGAATTGAGTAAAATTAGTCAAAGTGGTATAATGAATGAGGAATGTATTGGTATAAATAAACTAAAATTATTGTGAATCAGATAAAATATGTTTAACTGTGCAACAATATAAATTTGATAAAAATCATATCAACACAAATAGAGCAAAATATAATAAAACCATACAATTTTGATATTTGCTCAAAGAAAATCATAACTTGTTTCCAATTAGTCACTGGCATTGAAACATTTTTCGTTCAATATTTACATTAAACATATTTTGATTACCTGATAATCTTTCCTGACAACCTCGTAAACATAATATCATCATAAAGAGATCAAATGTGTGACATTAAATGGTATTTCATTCCTTTTGATAGGTATACTTATCACAGGAATCAAATGATGGTATTTTCCAAAGAAACCAATACGACATCACAGAGATAGAAACACTTGCATTGAAAAGTGACGTCAAAGGAGCAGATAATGAGGACATCAAGGACGAGAATCACGAATCCGTATTGGAATTTGTTCTTCATCACCAAACAGCTAACGCTTTTTTGTTTTCAAATGTCACCCCTTTGAAAGAAATTATCAAAGAAAAATGGAATCACTACAAAAAATGGATATATGGAAGCTTTGCTTTATATTTGGTCTTTTTGGTTCTTTTGTCTATTTCTGCCGTTTACAGGTCACATTTAAAAGAGACAGTAAACAAAAATGATACAGCTCAGTTTTTGTACTGTGTAACGAAGAATGGTTTTGTCACTTTTGTTTCAGTTCTTGGTCTCATTTTTGATATCATAGTGATTGTCATAATCATAACAAAATTGTTATTTCTAAAAACCCTTTTAATTTTTAAAAAAGTCTAGAAACCCATTGGAAAGATTTAAGGGTGGGATTTTTAAATTGCCATACTCAAAATGTCATGTTTTCCGGGGGTTACTTTTTTATTCTTAAAATGGTTTTTTGGGGCTGATTTTTTTTTGCGGCACTTTTATGCTCCCTGAAAAATTTTACCCGGTTTGAAATTTTTTGCTTGGTTTTTGGCCCCGTTTATTATTGGTTTGGGATCCCGGGGTTTTTTTTTTTCTTCAAACAAATTTTAAAAGGGTCCAGGTTTTTAAAACGGGGTTTTTGGGGGTTCCCGAGAATTATAACAGATATTTAAAAAAGGCTTGTATAATGGTTATATTTTTCATTTGCATTTTTTATTGGGGGAATGTATATGAAATGCCCAAAGGAAATGATACGGGGAAAAAGACGATTTTTTTTAATTTTTTGGGAAAAAAAAAATTTTTTAAAATGAAAAACAAACATGCTTGGTATCGGAGAATTAGATATACTTTTTCAAGCAAGGAAACCAACATTAGCCGTGCTGGTATTTTTGCTATTTGTTCTTCTAACAACTATTCTTCTTCTAAATGCACTTATTGCAATGATGTCCAATACTTGCACAGATTTGATGAACAACCATACTGGTTATTCAGCCTCAAAGATGCATTATCGTCTCCAAAAGTTAGCTTTAATTGTGTTTCTTGAGAGTTTTCTTCACAACGGGTCACTTAAACGGGTCGGTGAGACCAGACATAATATCAATAGGTATGACAATGAGGTACAAAAATTTGTTAAAAAAGATCGGCTATTCTGGACACAAAGTTTTGTGAAGGAAGATGTAGAAACGGCCATTGAACCTTCGGACGAGCAGTTGCAACATATAGACAGGACAACTATTTTAAAGAACGAACTGATTGAAACGATTAAACAGGGACAAGGTCAACTACCAAAAGTGAAGAGACCTAAAAATGCAAAACGTAAAGTTTCAGATATATTAGCCTTTCCCTCGGAACTCCAGACAGTACAAAAACGCCTTGACATCAAAGATTATGAGCAAAGACAATGTGGACGATGTATGGATGAAACAGTGACATGTTTGCAGTCACAAGAAATAAAAGAGGTCACAGAATTTATTTGACATTTTTGTAAGTCAATACAAATTTAAGGTTATACCCGAAATAATCTATTGTCTATTGCGTGTGTTACACTTATAATGTACAATAGAAAATAGATTCCGATTTATAAACTTAACCATTTGTTTTGAGAATAATACTAGTAACTGATTGATAGTGCAAAGATTTAATCGTTACAAAAACGATTGTAATGACCTTCAAATATGTGTAACGTTACATTACGTTTATGTGTATAAGCATGAAGCGTGTTTATAGCTTTACCTGTTTGTTAAACTTTATGCAATTTAATGTTTCAATGTAACCTTTCCAACGACTGATGTTAAAAAAATATGCAAATACATGTATATTCTGTATGTAAATATACTTAATGTGTAAACTGTAATCCACTGGTACGAACACAATACGTTGTATTTATTTCATTTCATCTGTAATAAATTGAATACACTTTGATCAAGATTTATGTATATGTGAAACATTTTTAATTTTCTTTAAACATCAGGACATTTGAATTAAAGATTTTTATATGACAACAATACTCAGTTTTAATATAAAGTAGTATTGGTATACAATACAGTAACATAGACATTTTTATAAAACACTTGAAGTTGTGTTTGAAAACTTTATACAGCCTTGAGTGAAAAAAAATGTTTTATTTCGGAAGCCTGGCGTTTATGTGCTAAATACATGTATACAACTACTAGGGTGTGTTATAATTTGATCAAACGTGTCACGATATCATTAACTACGACGTCTATAGCAAATGCAAATAGACCAGATGCAAAATTGTGTCTTAAAAAGCATTTTATTCATGCCAGCACTTCCATAACTGAATGTTTAAATGTTGAAACATGTAACAAAAAAGACAAGTTAAGGTGACTTCTGGAAAACAAAAATTTACAAAGGATTACTTGCTGAATCTGTTTTAAAATATCTCGTAGTTAAGTCATTTTTACACATGCAGTTATATAAATACTTAATCCTTACCGCGCTAAAAACTTTACATGGACTTGTCCACCTTTCAATCTTGACAAAAAATTCTTTACCAGTAATTACATTATAGGTTTGTTACTATTTCTCTGTTCTTATCAATCCATTATACTCACTCAGTACACTTTCGATGAGCATTTGAAAACTGTATTAATATATAACTTTGCAGTTTCTTTTTCATTGATTAATATCGGGGCAAAATAACTCAACTGAGTTTTTTTCGAACCTTGTATACATCAGCGTAGTTACTCATGCGGCAGGTGTAATTAATGAAATGAACTTTATTCTCATATAATCAAAGGTACATTCGATGAAGGAATTATTTCAACTAAAAAAGCCCTTTAATCTTGAATAAACATTACTTTTTCCACCAGATAACATTTTAAGAGTAATCTTAATAAGTTAAGTAGCTAGTTAACCTCTTAATTAATTAGTTAATTATATGGTTAACTAGTTACGTAACTAGTTTACCACTTAACATTTAGCTGGTAAAATAAAAAATGATGGCAGTTGTAGGCACTAACATGCATTTATTTCCCGTTATGATTACCATATAACTAACTAGTTAATTAAGAGGTTACGAAACTAGTTAACCTCTTAATTAACTAGTTAGTTATATGGTTATCTGATGACAGAAGTATGCCACCATAGGTATGTCATTCTATTTCTTAAAAATCTTACCTTGGGAAGTTATGAAAAAGAGATCTGATTTAAGGTATGACAACCCTAATGCATTATTGCATTATCTCAGCTTTAAAGAGTATTTAAGTAGGCTACAAATACAGTAAACTGTATTAAACTGAGGGTAATGAGTTCAAACCGCAGTATGGTAAACATTTTTCTTTCTTTTTCAACATTATTTATGTATCATTCAGGTCTATTTTGAAAGAAGAAATGTTTGATTTTAATTACATAATTAGTATACGTATTTATTGGCTGAATTATTCAAGATTCGTTTCCAAATTTGGCATCCAATATTTTCAAAATTTACTAAAAACTACACGGTATAATAAATTACATTTTGACAAGATCAGCCTTTATACTGATGAAGAGAAATTAAACAAGCTTTGAGAACAGCCCCTCAATTGGGTAAGTTATAGGGATATTTCGAATGAGAATGTCTTAGCAGGAAAATAGTAAAGAGGTGTTAAAAAGGGTGGTGTATGGTAACAGTGTAATATATACATATATCAAACATTTTTAGAAGAAATGATCATTTCGCTGCAGTCGTTTGTTAGTCAATGTTATTATTTGTTATTGAATAAATAGAAAACATTCCCATACGGATGATATTATAGATTATCAAGAGTTCCATTATTTCATAAAAAGAGCCCTTCTATTATTCAAAAAAGTGTCGATAACTCGTAAACAGTACGTAAAAATGTTCGATGCTGGCTAATTTTTTGTAGGAATAAATGAACGAAATCAACATAATTAAATGAAGCATAATAAAATAAAAGCATCTATATCAAAACTGCAAAAGTGAGGATAAGGTACACTGAAATAACAAAAAGGCAACGAAGAAAGCGGTAAATTCCTGTATATATTTTTGTGTATAATTATTGAAAATCATGTATTTTTATTTTAAATTGTTGTGTATGATTACTTTGTTGTTTTTTGTTGTTGTTTTTTTTGTTGTTGTTTAAATGAGCATCTAGCATTTTAAAACTTGCAATATAACAAAGAAAACACAATTGTTAAATCGTTTTCCTATATAGTCTAAAGATCATTTAAGGATACAAATGCCTAAGTTTATATATGATTGATATCTGATAGACATATTGTCGAGACAATAGAATAATTGGTCTGTATCGTATATACCCGTTCATTCATTGTTCATTGTTTTTGATATAATAAAAGATACTGTTTGATATTACAATTGCATATGTTCGTTGTTTTTCAAAATGATAAAGCAAGTTTTAATCAAGTAGAAAATGAATTTTAAAAAGTTGAATTGGTGTGCATGTTTGTATGATTATTTTTGTGTAAACTCAAGAGTTGGTTATCTTCTATTTTATCTATTTTATGTTGACTTAAATTGAATTAAATATGAAGTAATTACAAAGATACCTTAATACGATATGTTGTTGCATCACGATATCTTATATAATAAGATGTTAATAAATTCATACATGCATATCAGAAATTAAGGTAAATCATGGATCTAACTATTAAAACCTTTCCTATTAATTACAGTTTTCAGTTTTTTTGCTTTTGCATGATTATATCAATCAGTTGTTTTTATTTCATTTTATTTATGTATGTATTTGTTTTTTAAGTTTTTTTTGTGACATTCATTGATTGATTTTAATAAATAGACAAAATAAAAACAATGTTTTCATGTTGTGTTTAATTTAACTTAAAGCAACATGCCGCCAGATTCATGCTACTTGTCATGTACATATTGTAAGAGTTGTTGTAAAATGTAAGATTGTGTGAAGTGAACAAAGAAATTGCATAAAAGAGGTCAAAATATGCAAAATAGCCGTAAGTTAGTAACACAGTAGGTATATGGTTATGATAATGATTGGTGCAAAATTTATAATAAATCACCATTAGCTTGAATCATTTTACTTGTCTTAAAATCTTAGTACTTTTCTCTCAAGTTTGATTTTCTTGAATCTATTTGGCTCATCTGAAGGCATGCAGCTTTTAGCGTGTCCTCGAATGATTATACTCAAAACTCTTCAATACAATAAATGCATTCATTTGTAGGCAGGTTTCTCAATTCGGCAATATAACTATTAATCTGTACACTAGTATGATTTGGCCCTGTGCTAAATTTGGAACAATAGAAATATTGTAGATAATTTCGTGATTTAAACAATTTTATTATATAAAAAAAACACTATTTTATCAAATTTAACATAGCAATACATCTTTATCCTACGATAAGGAAATTCAATTAAACTTCTAAATATAAAATAAAACTAACTAACTATGTTCTTATGTATTTACCTTGTTTTGGTTTTTTATTGTTCCTTAAGCATTTTATTCAGATATATAAGCAAATTAATATTTAATAAATTTTAGATATTACATAAATAAAGTTCTTACTCGATAAACCAATCAACTGAATCTGATTTATTAAGCATCTTTAGAATAAACATAAATTATTTATTTCCCGAATACATATTAATATAAACATTTACAATAGAAATCAAACATTTTTATATTCAAGGAAAGGATGAGAACGGACGACTCAGTCTTTTAAAATTCCACTCCTTAATGTATTTTTGTGTCGAACTGACAGTATTTTAGGGAATTAATGTTGAAAACAGATACTTAGGGATAGAGATGATCACATTAAATTTATGTCAGAAGTTGAATTTTATCAGAAATGTCGATTTTCGAATCGAAAGAGTGTGCACATTCTATACCCGGAATGATACAAATAGTATGAACTATTAGGAGTATATTCAGCTCCTGTGATATCAGTACTGACGCAAAAAAGAAGTGAATTTATACGATTTCAAGTTTGAAATTTCTTGAACTTCCTTTATCCATGAAAATAACTGTTCCCGTGTTTGTCAATGTTATCATCAAGACTTCATGAGTCTATATATAGGCCCCATATAAATGTTAATGTTTTAATCAAAGGCTTTTCAGTTATTTATTGTTTTGTTTTTAAATATTAAAATAACAGCTAGATACAAGTCATATCACACTTTTTGAATTTTTGGATTGACAAAGAACTTCTAATCTATATATTGATTTTTAAAGATATTTCAAAGGAAACATGACAGACCAATATCTTCATGGCGTCATGAATAACAATGGCATAAAGTAAACTTAGATGACGTCAAAGTATTTTAATTTTAAAAAAGCTATAACAATCTACGTAGCAAAACAATATTTTTAACATTTGTTTAGCATGATTTATATACTGGTGTAGTGTTTCATTACTTGGATCCATTTTGTTAGTTTGTAACTTCAATAATAACTGTGTTATGTTTTACCGCTTCAGTCGTTTTGTTTTATCGAACATAGATTTAAATTCTTTTTTATTTTTGTTTTCTTGTCCATTAAGATTTTTTATAATTAATTCTTTTAACATTTTTCCACTTTGGTTAAATCCACTCTATTACACGACATGGTTACACTTTTGCAATGTATATTGAATAATGTTATGCACTAAAACTGATCGGTCAACTTTTGAAGTCTCCCTCACAAGAGGTAAGGTTGAGTAAACTAAACAAATACCACTTTGCACATTGTGAGTTACTTACCGGAAGTCTACTCCAGCGTTACTTGAGATGACCGTTCGTGAGTTTAAGTCACGATTGAGATTAAGTATCGTTTCTGAATACTGGTCATAATGGTGAAGATCTTGAATTACGAGTAATGAGTGGTGTTGAAATAACCTTAATTTTGTTACTATATACATGTATAGTAAGATAGGTATTAAAGCTATAACACTTTGAATACATGTTTTGTATAATGACAAAAACGGAAACGTTCTATTAAAAGAAATACAATATACCAGTTTTCTATGTAATTGGGACTATTAATAAGTTCTGTTTAAAC